AAGAAAAAGAAAAAGAACAGAAAAAGAAGAAGTGACGGTGAAAGATCAAAGGTTACATTCGGACGGAGTGTCGTCCGTGAGTGGGAGAAAACAGAGAGTCCAGGAGGGAGTCCATGTCAGCAAGAGGAGTGCCAGCGGAGATGAACTGGGTCTGTCGGGGACCGTCATTGAATATTCCTCTCACGTGGTCTCTGATAGTGCTTCCACTATGCAGAGGAATCTGTAGCAAATAATTCTCCGCATCTCCAGCCCAGGGTCCGCGTCATCCCCATTCAAAATCAAACCTTGTTGGGTAATAGGCTACTCTCCCCTAAACTAGCCCTTCTTGAATAAAACGCTTAACTTTGTAGAGGTTTTTTTTATGGCTTCTCCAGTATTTACAGATGTTACTGATCCGTAACTGTTGCCGGCTCTGCTGAGGGTTACATAATTGTGATGCAGCGTCAAAAGTACAGTATGGGCTATAGGATGTACAGAGTAGAAGACTGTGTTAGATACATGTTTAATAGATCTCAACGTTTTCTGAGGTTACTCTCTTTCATGTCGGCATATTGCATCAGGTCATGGGGTTCATTATGAAGTATTGGCTATTTTCACTGATATAGAAGTCTAATTGTTTGCTTTAGGTCTACCCTTTCTTCATAAAGCAAATTAAGGATTAAATACATCTTATTATTTAGGCCTATTATTTATAAGAATGATCATGAAGATATCATTAGACTGTGTCAAAATATTGAACTACAGCAAACATTGAGATCCAATCCTAAAACGAATATTGGCTGTATTCCATTTACCTGATAATGTTTGAGAGTCTTTATTGTGTCCTACATGTTGACTTAAAGATAGGCCTAGGCATACTTGAATCAAAAAGATTTGGGTCCATCATGACTTTCCCCTCTCATTTGTGTTCATTATCTTTTGGACCTCAAAATGTTCTTTCTGGGGCTGATATGGTTTCAGTATGCAGGCTGCTGCTCACCTGAGGCCAGGCCATGTAGGCCTACAGTAGATCTTATGTTATAAAATAAAAGGCTTGATTTAACATATTCACGTGGCAGCCATTTCTGTCTGACTTCAAGGTCAATGTGGGAAGTTCAAATGCTTTTTGACCACATGATAGTAATACTGCTGGGGCTCAGGTAACAATTCATTAACGCAGGCCACAGATTATGACAAATGCTTATTATTCCACTGATCTCGATTTAGCAGCAAATGCAATAGAACAGTCTGCCACTGGCCTATTTCACGTTAAAGCAGCATATAGGCTATATGATAACCCGTTATCAGAAATACTTTATTAATCCCCAGAGGGAAATTGAGTAAAAATCTATTGATTGAAATAAAAATGAAGACAGTAAAATACTAGAAAGTAAGAAAATGAACAGGAGCAACTGTAACAGGCAGCTTGCGCGGTCCGCAATGCACATTATATAGGCTACCGTAAAACAAAAGCTAATGTTAGCGTTCGTCTACTTCCAAGCTAATATTACAGGGGGTCAGCCCTATGTTCCCACAGCCCAATGGTCCCACATTTCTAAGAATTTTCTCAAAATTAAGCCCTATGTTCCCACAGGGTAGGGTTAGGGTAAGTTACCCTAACTGATGTGGGAACATAGGGCCTAATTTTAGAAAAAAAATCTTAGAAATGTGGGAACTGTGTGAACATAGGGATGTGGGAACATTCTAAGCTAGTTATGATTTTAGCTAGCCAACAACAGTGTTGTTAGCTTAGAGTTCGTAAACTGCTGGTAGCTGTTGTGACTGTTTGTGGGCAAATTTGATATGTTTTTAAATTTTAACTTGATATCTCACAATTTCCCTCTTGATTTCAACAAGTTTTTGTCATTTTCTGATCAATTAAGAAACAGTGAAGAGGTAACATTTTTACAAATTAGCACCAGGAATAAAGCAGTAGGCTACAACATCAGAACAGCATTTGCGCTACATTCACTGTGTGAAACAGATTTTCACTGTGTGCATGTAGCTCAAACGCAGCGAATTGTGGAAACATATTTGAAATAAAAACATTACTTTGTGTATCACTGCTGTAACACTAGAAAGAAGGTTTTGACACAAGAGAGTAAAGCCTGGAAGAAAATCTACATAGGGCTCACAGGTCATCGTCTCTCACATGGACTGTGTTCCCTTTTGGCTCCATAAAACTCTATGTTGATAGCCCTGTTTCCTGAGCTGCTCTCTGAACTATGTTCCTGCTCTTTTCAGGATTTATCAACATCAAACAGGAAGTAAAAGAAAATAAAAAAAATATATAAAATCCAAAGCTTGACACTGAGCAAATCGTGTCTTGCCTCACCGAGCCACTGGATCAGCCTCAACGTTATGTATTCTGCCTTTCTAGTGGCATTATAAATGGATGAAGAGACTCTGAAGCGCTCTGGTTCTTCTGAGATAACTGATTATTCTTCCATAATGGTGGATTCGCTGTGAAAGACTGCATACATTAAAGCTCTTACTTGCCAAGTTTATGAAGAGAACTACAGTTCAGTGACTATGAAAGGGAGGGATGTGCATTAAGTTGACAGAATGGCACTTGATTCACAGAAGGCACAAGACACTTCCTTTTGTGAGCTGTCCACAGAGAAAAAGGCGAGATTAGCCTCTGTGGAAAAGCAGTACAACAGGAACTTGGAACTTTACACATAACTTGAAGTTCAGGATCTCGCTGCTCTAGTTCACAACACTTTGCTCTCTATAATAGATGGATACAAGTTATTATGTCATTACCACTTTAAGCAAGAGACAAGATGGCTTCATGAAGACATAATGAGAAAAGAATGACTCGAAATCAGTTAATTTGGATAGCTGTTAATCAACAATGCCAGGCAATTACAGCCTGTTAAAATAGAAGTGTGATGCTACCATCTGCAGGAAATAAAGTGACATTACTCTAATGCACAGTGAACTTTGTATTCTTAATGTTAAAAAACTGTGATGACAGATGTACATCGCGTTACAAAAAGCCATGATAGAGAGTTTTTGCACAGATCTTTCTACTTAGACACCTGCATATTTAAAATACTAACTCTACTCCTTTTGAAGTAAAAGTCATACTCTGCTGATAAAGAAGTATGGAACTATATGTCTGAAAAGTAAAATAACTACAGTAAATTGACCTGCTATAACATTATTTCTTTATACAAATAAATACGAAAGACATTTGCTCACTTTTCTGCCAGTGATCACAAGCCAAGCCAATCTTGGAAGCTTATCATGTGTCTTTCGGGGTAGAATCTTAAATTAAGAAATGTAAACATAATGGAGAAAATAGAAAAATTGAATGATGAGAATATATGAGCTGGAAAACTACAAGTGTATTCGAGATACTTAAGTTTACATTTCCTTCACTTTCTTATGCAAAAGAGGTTGTGGTGATTTTAAATATAATTTTTTTTTACAATTACTACTATTTAGAAGTTGTTCATTCAGCATCTAATTTGTACTGGCTATTGCTATCATCATAACACCCTACTAAATGTCTTTTGTATCCTTTTCAATCTTCAACTGTTAATAGCGTAGTCCACTTTCCCTAGCTAATATTTGGACAATACAATTGGACGATACGGACAAGTATGAGTGTAATTTTCTGAAGGCACAGTAACAAGTCATTTTAACATTTAACTTTATCATCAGTAGCTTTATTACTTTACTTTTTAAGTCATTCAGTGAGTTGTAAAGAAAAGGTGATTTGCATAAAATACAACATTTTCAGTAGGTTGATGGTGTAATGACCATGTATGAGCTCTTCCATCCTGCAGATGTGTGACAGTAGATACAATACACATTAAACATGCAAACTACTGAGACCATCTGTAACTTGGTGGGATACAGCTCCATCTGTTTTCCTATTGGACTATCCCTGATTTTGTCAGCAATTTGAGCATTGTGTGAGGTCAAAGGAACAACTGACACTACCAAGTAACTTTGAGTCAGTTTGATTTGATTTATTTTGCTACAGGACTGTGGTTGGGCTTATATGTCAGTCCCTTACTCTTTTTGTCTATGTTAATGCAATTGCTGATGGGCTGCAGAGGTAAGCTATCCCTCCTTGGAAGTGCATGGATATTAAAAAAGTTATAAAAGGAATTTCGCTGTTTTACAACTATATCAATGAGAGTGTCACACTACAGATCAATAAGGAACTACATCAAAAAATTACATTTTAATCAACTCAAATGTGCTGGCCTTTGCTGGTCCAAGTACCTGCTCGTGTGTGCCATCTAGAGGAATGACAATATAATTGCATCTTTAACAGAAACAGCCAGTCCATTCCAACATCTGTCAGATAACATGTGTATGATTGGGAAATGGTGAGAGGGGAAATCCGGCAATATAAAACAGATCTGTTCTTAATATAAATATGCATAAATTAATAATTGATTCACTTTTTTCATTTTTACATACTTGTGCACATGACATACAACTAACCCCCTCTCTGTTGGTATATTTTTGATGTGCAAAGCAATAACTTAAATTAACAAGAGACACTGTACACAAGCTGTAGAGTCAATACTATTGCATGCAAATAATTTGCATTGAAAACATAAAAGAATCTAATCCTCAAATTTAAACAGCTAGAAACGGAAAAGTTGGTGCATTAAAAAAAGATGAAAATGATTTATTTCAAATACCGGTAATCCAAATGTAATTATCATGTTAAATGCACATTTAGGTCTACCCCATCTTTTACTACATGTTCAATGAACCTTAGCCTATCTAAACCATAGATCTAAACATACAGAGCATTCAAATGTTGTCTTATTCTATGACATTAGTTGTTTTTGCAGCGAAAAGGCTTGGTGAAATGATGTTTCAGTAGATGTAGGTCTAGGCTATTTATCCTACACTAAGCTCGAATAAAACCTTTCGAGATTTAACAAAAAGTGGTCTATCATTTAATGAGGGACATAAACAGTGAAACGAGCCACCTATTTAACAGAAAATAGATGGATTCAGAGGTGTGTGAGTTGGTTACTGTGATTTCTTTGGCTGACAGTGCCTACACTGTGAATGACACCACAGCTTTAAAGCAGCAACACTTCAACACGTGGATGTGTCAGTCAACACCAACCACCGTTTTCACCGATAACAGAGGGACTGGCGTCAGCAAGGAATTCGTAAGTAGATGTAATTACAGTATGTTTTTTTTCTATTTAAAAGGTGTTTTTGTCAAAAATCAAGTTAATATGTTGAATTCCACGAGCTGGTTGTCGCCACACACTCCTCCCCGCATGCGCCGTCGTGCCCTCCTAACTTAGCTAAGTATAAGCGAGGGAGGTTCAAGAACTACTACTGAACCCCAAAATAACCTTTATTTTGTTTACCTTGTGTCTCAAACCAATAAAAGACCCAACTCCCGCAGTCTGGTATCGATACCGCTACATTTACGTTGCTGTGTTAGCTGCTTTGTTCATCATGAGTCATTTAACAAACTCTGGTTTGTGATCCAGCTACAGCTAACCTGTTACCAGGTCATTGACTGTAAATGACGGGCGATAGCACGAAACACCGAGGACAAAGACGACTTCCTAGTAATACACACAAACGATGTCAGGTGGCGGTTCAGCAATTAAAAATATGTTTTTTTATTGTTCATTTACGGAGTCAGCTGTTGGAAGCTAGTTAGCCATTGCAGCTGTAAGATGCAGCAGGTCCTCCCCACCGGTAGAGGCAGCATTGTACTCTGTGCAGTCATGAGCAGGGAGAAACTCAGAAACTACCATAGACTGTAAATATTACCACAGAAACTACAGAGAAAAATCTCATCTAATATAGATAATCTAATATAAGATCTCATATAAGATAAGATATGTTTATTGTCACTGTACAAGCACAGCAAAATATTGTTGGAGCAAGCCTGTAGATGCCTAATATCAGAAATATACAAGTATACAAATACTAAAACCAAATATTCAAATAAGAAATACAATTGAATAATACGATATAGTATACAATATACAAATAATTTGCAGTTGACAGGTATAGAATAAATATATTGCACTTAGTTATACAGGACTCCAGAGAAAAATCTAATACTTACCGCCTGGTATGTCCATATCACAGGCGGTAAGTATTAGACGGTGACAATGGAGGTTTTGTGACTCTGGAAAAGAAGTCATCTACGTAGATTGGGTGATTCACAAGATTTTGCAGTTGTGCAGCTGCAGATAGACGGATGTTTTGTATCCCCTGAAACTATACGACTTAAAAATACAAGAGGTTAGTAAAGCTTCCACCTAAACAAGGAGTGTTTGGATGTATCAGAACATGGGGACTCAGTTTTCTTTTAATATCTTTACTGCCAAAGGATGTCTCACATTCTTAGCATCCAAAGATAAGTGTACCAAAAAAGCAGGGGAAAATACTAAACTGTAAGTTTACTTCTCTTTGATTAGTTTCAAATATTTTTCTGTCCATAAATGTAAAGACCTCCAAATGTCTGGTTGGCATTTAATTTGGAAGCAGAACTGGACCCTAATATGAAAGCGTCTTATATATCAGAGCTTATATGATTGTAGTTGCAGTGAAAGTCAAATGGTCTAATTCTGAAATGAACAATATTCTAATGTTTATATTTTTCATTACATCACATTTGCATGTCCCAGAGAATATGGACTACCTGCCGGAGGACAACTCCAGGTACAAAGACGTTGACTACTGGGATGAAAGATACAAGACAGAGCAGTGTTATGACTGGTTGGGTGGCTTCTCCAAATTCCAGCACCTCCTGGAGAAAAATGTCAAGAAAGAGGACTCGATTCTAATAATCGGTAACTAGTTTTCTTTTTCTTTGTCCATCCGCTCTTTTACGTTTCTTCTTTTATCAATCCCTGAGCATTGGCAAGTCAGTCCCTCTTCCTGTTTTCTGGTGACTTGCATTGCCCTACATTAAAGTGTCAAAGGCAAAATGCGTGTCATTATTTGTCATTATGAGTGTCAGATGCAATCATCATGGTTGTCAATGCTGTCACTAGTATCTCTCACGCTTGCATTATATCCTCTCAAGCAACCATTTGTACAGTGTCCTGTCCCTTTGGTTAGTGTTGGAAGTGACAGAGCGCATTGGATCTACAGAGGGTACCAAACTTTAAACATATTCATGTTCACAATGTTTACCTCCTGTGCCAGCACACATTGAGGCTTTGATATATATACAATATAAAGTCAGAAAAACTTGAATATCTGACAAGAATTAGTCTGGTTATATATAGTCCAGTATCTTTAATCATTGTCTTTCATCATTGAGGCATTTAAACTGGGTTCAAGCTGCTTACTGCATGAAAAAATGCTTCCAAGAAAAATATTCTTGGTTACATGTTGAGCTTTTTTATTCTGGTACATTACAAACATACTGCATTCTCTCTTTCTTTCTGACAAAGAAGTTGACTTGAGTTTAGCCTCATTCTTCGTGATAGGAAAACTTTATTTCTCAAGAAAATAGAAACTCTTTGCCTCTTAGTGAATTGTTCCACACATTTCCACAAGGTGTCACTGTGATCTTATAAATACAGTAAGTTCCTCATCACTACCTGCAGTACCTGCTTTTAAATGGCACTGCAGCCCTGTTAAAAATGCTGCAAAACCATGTGAAGCATCACTGTAATGTTTTGGCTTCTTCTCACAGCAAAAGGCATGTTTGTTTTCAGTGGAGCTACATAAAATATCAAACAACTGGAATTACAGCCAATTGCTTGTTGAGGCGTAAGCAAAAGTTCTCAAGTAGTTCTGGAGATGTCATATTGATGGAGTTACTCTTGATAGGATTCATTGAATAGAGAAATAGACAGAGTCAGATTTCAGACACTTAAAAATGTCTGAAAGAAGTTATTTTAATAGTTAGATGTTTTGTTTTATATTAGGATGAGTGAAAGGCAGTACACTGAAACATCAGCTTTAAAATCTGTTGTTGTTAACACTGTTATACCTCTTCAGAAGCATAGAGGGCTATGGTGGTCTCTGTTTTTCCTCGTGTGATGCATGTTCGTTTGAGTTTGTGTGGTGTTGTGTCTGTGTGTGTCGGTTGAGTTTGCGTGGTGTGTGTCTGTGTGTGTCTGTGTGTGTCTGTGTGTGTTGGTTGAGTTTGCGTGTGTGTGTCTGTGTGTGTCTGTGTGTGTCTGTGTGTGTCTGTGTGTGTCTGTGTGTGTCGGTTGAGTTTGCGAGGTGTGTGTCTGTGTGTGTCTGTGTGTGGTTGAGTTTGCGAGGTGTGTGTCTGTGTGTGTCGGTTGAGTTTGCGTGGTGTGTGTCTGTGTGTGTTGGGGGGGGTTTGTTAAATATGTGTCAGGGAGCGACAGGGACTTCTGCTTTGTGTATGTGTGTGTGTGTGTGTGTGTGTGTGTATGTGGGTAAAGGGGAGGGGGACAGACAAGGATTTGGAAGTTGGGTATTATTTTTTTGACAAATGCCTCTGCTTGTTTTGCTGCTGTCTTACTACAGTGCTCATTTTCAGACACGTTTATTATACCTGGATATCTTTTATTTCCCCAAATAGCCCTGCTTGTTAGTAAATGCATTTTAAGTGAGAGGTTAGCCAGACAGATGGACAGATGGCGTGCAGCCTCACTTTTTCAGTGTGCGTCATAGGCACACCTACAGCAGAGGCGTGAGTGGGCTCTGAAGTCTGATGTATAAGATATCTTCTCTTTCCTCTCTCCTGCACTACGCTGCAGCAGGCAACACCAGGGCAGACCACTTTCCGCACACTGATTCAAACCCAAAGGAGAGCCATTATATCGCTTGAGAGCACTCACCTCGGAGGGCATCTCTCTCTCTCTCTCTCTCTCTCTCTCACTCTCCCCTTGCCAGATCGTGGAATCGCACGTTTCTGTCACCAGCACGTGTTCACATCTTTTTCAACAACACATGCACCGATAAGGACTATATAGGGAAGCCTAAAGATGTGTGAACCTCTCACGTGTTGTAGAGACATGAAGAGCTCTTATAAGCACTTAAATAACACCACAACTGGACATCTGCCACAATGGAAAACAAGTCTCAGTTTCACTCGCTCGTCAAGTCTGTACACCAGAGAGACTATCAGCTCGTATGAAATGACACAATAAATCCCTGTCACTATTGGGTAAACAGGCAAAGAGGAGGAAAGACGTGAAGAAACAATCAAGGTGCCACAGTTCTGTATGTGTGTGTGTGTGTGTGTGTGTGTGTGTGTGTGTGATAAATGGATGAAGGATAGATGGAGAGAAGGTAAATAACTAATCAGGTTTGGGCCGCTCCACTGTCTCAGATGGAGGTCATTTCCATTAAGATAATCTGTACAGCACAGAGAGAGAGAGAGAGAGAGAGGGATGTAAGGGAGGGAGGGATGCATAGATAAGGAGAACAAGAACACTCTGCTGCATGCTGACGGTACTTTTTAATCTTTCTCCTTCAGTTGTGGATATTCTTACTGTTTTTAGTCTGGCCTCAGTTAATCTGTGATGTTTCATATCAACATTTTGCTGACCTATTCTCTGTTAACCTGTCTTCTACCCACCCCACTTCTATCGGCCTGCTTTTCTAAAAACCTGGAACGATTTCTTCTTTATCACATCGTTTTTGCTCCCCACCTTTTCAATAACCCACTTCTGTACGATTTTGTCTTTGCAGCTATCTCACAGTCAGCAGTATTATCATGACGTAAACTTAAACCCACACAAAGTCCTGACTCTGTATGTCAACAGATTTACGATAATCTGAAATGATACTAGATAATGTAAGAATACAATTTCAAACATTAGTGTAATCTTTTCTATTTTGGGGATTTGATCAGAAGAGATGGGTGACTCAACTGAAGTTGCAGCAGGATCATAATAATCAGTTCATTTCAGTTCCATGGCCTTCATTGTAGGGGTATATTGGTTTTTCAGGGCCGATACTGGATACAGATTAGTTTGTCTGCCGAGCACCCACATTTGGAAACATGGTCTGAAATGAACTTGTTTGCGTCTAGCCAATCGGATAGTGTTTTGGATGGGACAGTAGGTGAGTGGTGAGTGAAAACAGACTCAGAGAGAAAGATACATCTGCAGTGGAGCAAAAGTAGCGTACTTTTTGTCTAGTTCATTTCACCCGCAATAGTAAAATAAAACACTGATACTGATAATCAGCCAAACGCCAATCTTCAGTCGGTCAGGCCGATAATTGGTTGACCACTACTTTATTGACATTACAGTTTCAAGGACAGTGTCATTTCAAAACATTTGGACATGTCATAATAGTTCTACTTTGAGAAATCATCTGAAACCAACAGTACATGTTGAAAATGAACAAGAAAGTGTTGTGTTCATTCATATTCTGATAAAGCTTATTCTGCGAGCTACAGACCTCCATTGTTTGAAATGAAATGAAAACAAACAATTGTTCGTTCAAAGTGTCCTCTCCAAGGTAAACTCGGCTTTGTTGAATATTTTTAGCCAGCTGCCCATTCACCATCCTGCTGCTGTAAATAGTCACCAGTGCATCAAGAGCTACAGACGATGGTCCCCATAAATAAACTATATTGCTGGTATGTTTGCGAAAAAGCAAAGTTCCCACCTGGAAATATATTTTTCTGCTGCATCTAAATAGACAGCAGGTAAGGAGATGAGTAACTGCTGAGATACACATTTGAGTCTTTGTTTGGATTGTTTGAAAAATACAACGTATACTTTTTAGTGCAGAAGATCATAAAAGTAGATACAGTATTGATCCTCCAGTCCTTTGAGATTAACAAGGTGGTAAAATCGTTCATAATAGCATATCCTGTTCAGAAGCTCCTGCTGCTTATTAGTTATCCTGCAGTTAGACTTTCGACCTTTAGAGTTTTGAAACAGGACTTTGTGAAACAAAAATACCGCTGGCAATGTCCTGTGTTATTAGTGCTACATACATTTCAGTCTTGATGAAAGTGGAATATTAATGTGTATCTTATACAGCTTTGCAATGTGGCATAACTATGCTCATTACTGGCTACATGGTAGGCTGGAGGCCTGTGGTAGTGTGTGTCATGAGCATAACATCAAGCAGTCCTCTGACCCCTCCTCCTGACCTGTATGTGTGTTAGCAACATTACTGAGTATTAGCAATGATCAGCTGGGTCCAGTTCCCGCCTGCAAAACAGTTACAGCTCCTTCTTTTACAGCTCTAGGCGGCTGATGTAATGACCCCACGTCTCCCAGGGGTCAGCGCTCATGCCTTGTTCCCCAAGCGGTGATGATGTCATGGCTCTGCTCTCCAGCAGTGAGTGGGGCCGAGATGTGTTTCTATGTTTGTACCATGTTCTCTACATCCCCTGTTCCCCTTGTATAGAGAGTATGACACAAAATATCCTCAGTCAGACCATGAACACCTATTTTTCAAAGACCACACGTCGACGAGAGCATTTGTATAGGTGTGCTTTATTGTAATGACAAGTGAGCGCTGTAAATCATTATACTTAGTAACATACCTAGAAATAACTAGAATAACTGAAGCTATCTAAGAAACAAGACGTGTGCAGACACAAGTAAAAATTCTTATTCATACATTATACTTTTCCCCCTTAGGTTTGTGGGGGTTTTGCCACAAAGGCTAGACTCAGACTGTTGGCTGTAAAGCTGGCAGCCAGTTTTGTTGTGTTGCCTTGGAAGCCTTTTTGTGTATGTGTGTGTGTGAGAAAGTCCTTCTATGTGTGTGTTTATAGGTGCTGCTCAGTAGTGCTGATAGATAAATTGGATTTTTATTTCCGTCAAAAAACTGCCTGAAACAAGATGAAGATACAAACAATATCAGTGAACACTATGCATTTATTTTCAGT